GTGATGATTCTGAGTGCGATAGGTGTGCTTACCAGCACTGTAGCTGCCCTAGACCTCGAGTTAAGCAGAAAATACCGACAACACGTATCAAGTTGACTCGAATAATACGAATAGGTTTGCGGACCTAGCTCGGCTAGCAGACCGAGTTCAGACCTCGGATTCAACAGGCGAACGCGCCTGATGATTCTGAGTGCGATAGGTGTGCTTACCAGCACTGTAGCTGCCCTACACCTCGAGTTAAGTAGAAAATACCGACAACGCGTATCAAGTTGACTCGAATAATACGAATAGGTTTGCGGACCTAGCTCGGGTAGCAGACCGATTCCAGACCTCTGGATTGAACAGGCGAACGCGCCTGATGATTCTGAGTGCGATAGCTGTGCTTACAGGCACTGTAGCTGCCCTACAGCTCGAGTTAAGTTGAAAATACCGACAGCCCGTAGCAAGATGACTCGAAACGGCCGTTCCCGCCACCGTGCTTTTTGGCCTTCAAAGTTACCCGATCGAGCTGAGATCAAGATGGCGAGCGGGAATAAGATCGAATATCACGGGAAAAAATACTAGAGCTCTAACGAATTGTCAAATTTCGAGAACAAAATTTTCAACCGAGCAAAAGTCACCAAAAGTTCCGTCGAGATTTTTCTTGCCAACTAGCTCTCCAGCGCGCCGGAATTACTCTTAGCTTCCAGCTATAACTAGCTAAGGGAAGCTCTACGAGTTACTTTGTCCTTTCTGGGCGGGTCGACCAACTGGGCGCCGGCGGTAAACCGTCAACCTTGGTTTTTTCGTTTCGCGGACACACGGGCCCTAGGGCCCCGTCCAGTCCGAGGCGGGCGGGCACGCCAAACGCGGGCCACCGAGCGGCTAAGGCGAAAGCCTCACCACGCCAAGCACGTGGGGGGCGGCTTCGGCGGTAGCCTCTGGCAGCTCTTATAAGGTGTGTGTACATCAACACAATGTGTGCACGCATGAAGGCAACACACGAAAGAGAATCATCAATCACACAACTTATCGCTGAAATAGGCCTGCAAAACCCGTGGGAGTGCTGCGATGACGCACTCTGCAGCGGAGAGTTCCGTATCCGTCACTGTGGACCCGTCTTGGAGAGCGAAGGAGCAAACGTAAACGTCTTTGAAGATAATCTGTGGGGACTCACTGAAGGAAGAGGTAGGCGAGAGATGGGAGAATCGAGAACGCAGTCCAATCTGAATCCAAGCTCCACTTCCTGCTCCCAGGCTGCACACACCACCATCAAAGCCCGCTTTGATGAGGCAAGGTTCATAGCATGACTGTTCGTATGGCTGCAACTGGTACTGTTCGTTCGTGTATTGGTGGCCCTCGCGGGCCTGGTGGGTAAGGAGGTCGGCTTTCTCATTCCATTCCCGAAACTCATGTTTGAAAAGATCGCGTCCTGCTTCAGCAGGTCTCACACCATACATACAACACATTCCTTCCAAAGCATTAATCATATTATCAACACGTCTCTGGTATAAGTGATTATCTGCCTTCCAGAGGCCGCAGAGCCAGCAAATGATAAGAAGAGAATCTCCAGTGATCTCCAACGGCACGCCTCCTGAAGTCACGTCCCAACACGTGCTCTTCATGTTGTGGATTGCCAATCTCTTACTGAATCGCAGGCGTGCAGCGGGAGAATCATCCTCTGTAGCAACATACTCCTCATTACGTTCGGCCAGAAAAACGGGGGCGTTACCATCATGGATACCTTTGCATTTCTTCTGGAAAAGTCTAAGCATAGAGGGTGTACAATGATGAGTTGCAAACTGCATGAAGGCATGATGACCGCCTTGGAATACTTCCCACCACCGTGGGCCGAAGAACTCATGAAAGGGTGTCTGCCAACAGCGTTGTCCGATCGCTTGCCCTCCTGACCTCCAGCGTTTCATAACTCCACATTCCCTCCACTTTCCGAATGCCCGAAGGGCTTCTCCCTCAAGTGTGCGCAGCGTATCATAACTTATACCAAAGGCAATCAAACACATGCGTGCATCACTCCATGCTCTATGCTCCTCCCTCATGTCCTCTCCCTGATACAACCTCTGCGCATACGCCGAGACATCCTTTGCCAGCAGCCACTGAGCTCGGAGAAATCTCTGGACCAAACTGTGGTACCCAGCTTCTGCGAACCTCAATCTGGCATCGCTGTATCTTCTCTCGTTCCAAGTAGCATGGGATTCGTCTGGTTCTCGGCGGCATCGAAGCATGAAACATAGACACCTGCCCTCAAACGCGTGCAGTGCGTGGAGGCTGTCCTTGTCGGCCGTGCAGCCACCCGCACCGAAAAGGGCAATACTCTGGACCTTCTGCTGGTATCGTTGGAACTTTTCCTTCAACGACGTGCTTGTGTTCCGAAAATATCCTGCCTGGGAGTAAAATGTCCGACGAGCCGCCTCAATCCTCGAGTCCACATCGAGGTGCGAGGAATACTTATAATCACAGAACAACTGGACGCCTAGAACCGTCATCTCAGTAACACGTCTGAACCGCATAACATCATTCTGGAAGGGTACAAGTAAGTCGGCTGAAGAAAGGATCAGCCCCTCGGCATCTCTCGCGGCGTCGGCACCGAAGACCATGTAGAGCAAGCTAGAGGGTTTCCAGCGCATGCCGAAATCATGGAGTCTAACCGTAAGGAGGCGTGTAACCGTCGTCTGTTTTGGCCGGAACATGGAAAAAGTCAACAGCTGGAACGCCGTCTGTGAATGACTTGCGAGGAAGTCCCAAGCGGGAGCCTTTCCATATAAGGCCTGCACCTCTCGTCTTTAATCCCACAGATCATTCTGAATCCTGTAACTGTCGTCGGTGTTGGGGCCCCCGATGCTTGAGTATGGAAGAAGTCTCGAGCGGGAGTCGCGAAGAAATCCCCGGCGGAACGCCTCTCCATGGGGTCCCCATCCACGTTCGAATCCAAACGTGTCATCCTGAAGCTTGCAACTGTCGTCGCAATTGACCTCCCCAGGCCTGAATCTGGAGGAAAACGTTTCGAGCAGGACTGTCGTCTGTGACTGAATCGTGAAGAGGATTCGAGCGCAAACCCCTCCCTATGTGGTCCCCACTTCCACGTTCGAACCCGAGCGGGCCATCTCAAACGTGTCAACGTCGTCATTTTTGGGCTCCCCGGGCTTGAATCTGAAGGGGATATTGAATGGGGGTATCGTCGGCGAGTGAATCGCGAGGAGGACTGGACCGCGAGCTCCTCCTATGGGGTTCCCACCTCCACGTTCGACAACAAGGCTGTGAGCTCCAGGGCTGAAGCGGAACTCGCGGCCTGACTAGGCTTCGCGCTGCATCCCACATGAGCGCGGAGGCGCTCACCTCGAGGCCCGCGGGGTTGTCCCGGATGTTTGCTCCCGCGCGCCAGCGGCCCGCGAGGTTGCCCCAGGCCAGCGGTGCTGCCCCAACGGATCCGCGATTCGGCCATCGGAAAACGCACGCATGCCAGCTGTGGCAGCGAAGGCGCCGAAGAAAAACTTCATGCGCGTGAAGGCCAAAAGGAAGAAGAGGTGCATGAGGAGAAGAGTCCGGGTGGAGCGGGAGGAAGAGGAAGACGAGGAGGAGGAGGAGGCAGGAGGAGGAGAAGAAGGCAGGATAATGTGGCATGGTCAATAGGGGAAGGCAAGAGGGGTATAAAGACGGATCAGGAAAATATCCCCGGCCGAGCTGAACAGATTATCATGTGGGGTCCGACCGTCGGAATACATCAGGGCGCGTAATCCAGTTCATATGATGGGAGAGCGTGGCTCCAGCAATGGCATAATACCACGTGCGTATCTTCGGGTCTGACATCACGCCGTCGCTTTCGTGGAGACCTTCGAGCTTTCCGCGGGGCTCCGTCCCCTCCAACTTGTCGTTCAACAAATACCAGAAGTCCTCGTGCAACTTGGCGTAGTCGCCCACGTCGAATGCAGATTCCCCTATCGCGTCGTCTTCTTGTCTCTTGGTATGTGACGCTTTGGTCAATCCGCTAATCGTTAGCCGCTCATTCCTGGCTTTTATCCGATCATCCTTTTCGTCATTTGGTAATGCCCGGTCCTTGGTCTCGAACTCGTTGCTCAAATGTTGTAAGCCTTTCCACCAACCATACTTCACGCAAGCGCATTCAACAAAGTTTCGCTCCAGTCCCTGAATTTGGTCCGCCCTCCCCCCCCCCGATAACGTGTATGACTGCTGGACCACCTTGTACTCGCTTATCCCCCCTCCAGCCCTGGTGTTTCCAACAAGGTGGATCGCCTCAACGATCTTGGCAACATGCTCCAGGGCGTTCGCTTGTGTTTGAGTTCCGTCCTAACGTGCCCCTTCAAGTTGTGAAACTGTTCCTCGCAATAAGTGTGGTTGACGACCAATCTCAAGAGGGAATTCAGCTTGTAGTTCGTACGCAGCACTGTGAACGCTGCGTGGTTGTTCACTGTTCTGGTGACAAGCGTGGCGCCGCTTTCGAATACAGACCTCATTCCCTCATGGGTGGCCTTGCGTGCCGTGCTAAATTGCCTGAAGTTCCCGTTCCCGCAACCGGCATTATACACTTCCGCAAAAGGTTCGTGCCCATTCGTACCACGCCACTCAGACCTCGGATGACCTCACGTCGAACCCTGGGTCAGCTGCGCCAGGGTTCGGTGGAGCCGTCGCAGCAACCGCCGCGGCCATTGCAGGGAGACGGGTGCTTCGCGGGCTTGACCACGTGCTCTGCAAGCCGCGGGGCAGTCCACGGGCTCCGCCACCTTGAAAATATCTCAAGCGTTTTTCTCTGAAGGTGAGCCAAAACGTTGCGTTTACGCCCCAGTCAAGACGGATTTATGTAAGGTTGCCCGAGATTCTGTACGTTCAGCAGAAGCGTACATAACTGATGACTCTGGCAAGCGCGGGGAGGCGATATGCTTACACTCACTCCTCTTCCTCCTCCTCCACCTCCTCCTCCCTTTCTTCTTCCTCCTCCCTGCTCTGGGTCCCTCATCCTGGTCCCTGCTGGCACGGCGATGTGCGCCGCGATGGCCCCCCGCATGCTGCTGCGTAAGTTGGCGGGCGCGCGATCTCCCGCGGGTGAGGAGCCACCGCATCCTTTTCTCCCTGCGGCACCGCGCGGTGGCCGCCACCGTCGGGATCCGCCCGGTCCTGCAGGCGAGAGGTCGGCGGAAGGCTCGGCACCGACGCGGGAAGTGCAATAGCGGTGCGCACCAGCGCCGATCGATATGCACATAACTACAAACACACAAATGACAGAAACATATATGCGCGCTTCATTGAAACTTTGAATGGGCTCTTGCACCAAAAACTACGCACACACACTGCATCCGAACACCAAATTCTTCCGGTATGGGCACATACACACGCCGGACCTCCTTAGCCCAAAAGCAGCGCACACAAGAAATGCGCACGCGCACAGCACGATGACGGCAACATTGCAGCACGAATGTGATACATGCTGCCTTTCACAATGGGCGGGGTCTTAAAATCAGAAAAGGGAGGGAGAGGAAGAGCAGATGGAGCAGGAGGAGGACAGGACCCTGGGAGATGAGGTCCTCGGCCGCGGCGCCACACCAGCGGGCGATCCCATCGGTGGCACATTCAGCACCAAAGCGGGTTCCAGGTCCTTCCAGGTGCGCCCCGGGTCACCGTCGACCGCCTCGCAGGGGGGCAGGAAAAAGAGGAGGAGGGGAAGGAGGGGAAGGAGGACGACGACGAGGAGGAAAATTAGATATCAGTACACTCATCCCCCCTTCCAACTGCTCCGCCTTCCTCCTCCTTGACCTTCAGGGTGCCCTCCTTGGTCACCTCTGGGCACTGCTCGGAAGATGTGTGTTGGAAGGTGCCCGCGAGGGGGTCTGGGGCGCCAAGGGAGACAAGTACGCGAGGTGCCCTTTCACCGCCCTTGTTCGTGCTCAGGCACTCGGGCCTGCGGCTCTGCGCGCGCCCCCCGCGCTGCCACTGCCATTGGTGCTATGGCCCGGGTCTCGCGGTCGCCCTGCCCCCCCCCTTGTGGCCGGCTTCGGGTTGCCGCTGCCCTGTCTCGGTCCTGCAACCCTGGCTCGCGTTGCGAACGCGCTCTTGCCTCCGCCCGTCACTGCCGCCCCCCCGATGGGCCGTCCAAATGCCCCTCCGGTCCGCCACCGCAGCCTGCTTCAGCGCAGTACGCCCGGCAGCTGCTCAACCTGGTCTCCCCGCATTTTGCCTCTTGGGACCTTCATCGGCTCTGCTGCCACTGGCCTTCGGTTTTCCCTCCTTACTTGCTTGTCCTCGGCCCCCCGCAATGCAGCCGCTGCCCCGGCCCTTGGGTGTGGTCGCGACGCCGCCCCGTGCCCGCTGCCAGAGGTGCAGCACCGGTTTGGCCGCCCCAGGCGCCTAGCCGCGGCACCCGCTGCGTGAGCGCGCCAGTCCCCTTCCTACCTCCCGCGTCCGCTCCTCTTTCCCTTCTTTTTCCTCTTGCATCTGGCCGATTCGCAATGCCGCCACCCGGCTTGCTAAGCGCGCGTGCGGCCTGCCTCTGCCGCGCTGCGACAAAACAAAATCAGGCAAACGATCTTGAACGTGCGGCTCTGGCTTCAGCGCCAGGGAGGTTGGCTTTCAATGTCTGGCCTTCGAAGCGCTCCGTACAATTGACTGAAACGCTTCCGACACATGCGCAGACGACGGGTGGGTGGGCCCTGTGAGTGCGACGTTGTGCAATCGATGGTGTGCAAGCAATGCGGTGTGAACCATGTGGTGTTAGCCATGCGGTTCAAACTAGGCGGTGCAAGCTATGTGCTACGTTGCTCGATGCAAGTGCTGTGAACTAGATGGTAAAGATTATGTGGCGCGAGGGGTGTTGCGCAACTCCAGGGTGAAAGCAATTTATGTGTGGTGCAAGCCATTTGGGTGTAAGCTATGCGTGGTGCGAGCAACGTATCGCAAGCCAGGTGGTGCAAGCTTTGTGACGCAATTATGTGATATGGCCGATGCAAGCTATGTGTGGTGCAAGCTGCGCGCAGCGTAATATCTGCAGTGTAGGAAATACAATGTACTACATAGATATATGTATACCCATACAGGCATACATACAGACATGCATACATACATATGCATGAATATACACATATAGAAATACATACACACATACATGTACATATACCTGCACACGTACATACTCATATACATATGCATACAGATGTGCACATCTATACACATAATTGTATGGAGCAAGCGACGTGGTGCGAACCAAATGGTGCAAGCTACATGGTGCAAGCTACGTTGGTGCCGGCGAGGCGCCCGCGGGCGCCCCTCGGGACCAAAAGACCACAAGCAGCCACCACGCACGGGGCGCGCACGAGGAGCTCTCTAGCGCCCAGTGGGCGAAAACCAATGAACCAACTCTAAATAAAGCCGAAAGGCAAAATCTGCTTGGGGGACTTCGAACATCCAAGTCCCTCGCAAATGCGGGGGGGCCCCAAGGCTGTTTCGTTTGACTCGTCGTCGTCGTCGTCGTCGTCGTCGCCGCCGCCGTCACCGCCCCCCCCTTTCCCCCTGGGGCCTCCTCCTGAAGCGCGCCAGCAAATGTGGAAATACCAAAGCGAAATTGAACAACGTCGTAATGCAGCCGAAGGTCGAACGGAAACCCCTTCCCTTTGATCCCTTCCTCGCTGAGAGGGGGGGGGGGCACCCCGGGATGCGCGAGGGAGGGGGGGTCCTGGCGGGGGGGCGGTCCCAGGTCAGAATGCCGCCCCCAGAAGGGGGTCGCGGTATGCATGGCGGTGGGATGACCTATGGCATAGGGCCGAACCTCCCCCCCGGTCAACACGTTACCGCATCGGGCCCTGGCTCGCCTGTGAAGGCGGCAAAATTCCACGCGTTGCTTCGCACTTTCGTCCTGCCGTGAGATTCATGAGAACACCCCTGGACAAACATAATACGGGGAACCGTTTGCAATGGCCCTCCGCGACGCCGAAGATTGGAGGCGCGCGCACGTGCCCATATATTTGGCGATCGGGCACCAATGCTGCGGCAGCGGCGGCGATACATCACGCCCCGGCTCAGGAGCGGTAGCAGGAAAAAGGGAAACGAAAAGGCTGCTGATGGCGGGCCCAGACGGAACCGGGGACCCCAGAACCCTGACGGGGACACTGCCAAAAACGACATGCGCCAAGAACGAAGGGTGAAGAACACCCGCCTCTCAAGAACCCCAAGCCACGGGGCAGTACGTCAAATTTACCCTGGGCCCCCACCCAAGAAGAGAGAGGAAAGAAACAAATGCCCAGGACCCAACGACGAAAACGGGCTCAATTTTCCAGGGGCGGAGAAGAGCGCGGGGAGACCCCCCGCCCGAAGGCGGGGCGGTCACGCGGCCCCCATCGAGGGTTCCTGCGAGAGGGAGATGATGATAACAAAGAACGCTGACGATGATAACAAAGGGTAACCATGATAAGATGAGTCAATGTACGATTCGTCTTTTCCCTGGTGGTAGCACAATTCGACCTCGCAGCCCCGACCCGCCTATCAAATGTGAGTGCCCCATGTCTAATCATGCCTCAGGGGCTAAAGGGGGGATGCTGTATAATCGCGGGCATGCGGTTAACCATCTGCCACCGTGCCCCCTGGCACGTACGCGCAGGCCCCCCCCCCCCTCCCCGCTCTGTCCCGCGCGCAAAGCCCCTTTTCCCAGATGTCGCAGTCCCTCGCAACCCATATGAGGCCTTCGAAATCCTTCCGGGTGCATAGCACGGCCCACGACGGCCCTCAGACACCCGCCGCGCGGCCAAGAGGGACCCGAAACGGCCCACGAGAGCCCAAAGACGGCGCGCGAGGGTTCCAAGACGACACAGGGAGGCCCCCACATAACAAATATCGATCAACAGGAAGACGCACGACATTCCAATTATAATGACATCGCACGATTTTGCGAAACATCACATAACACATGGCTCTACGATTCCTACTTTTTTAATGGAACAGAAAGGTTGGTAACTTCAAAAATGAATTCTCACGATCCGCACTAAAGTGGGGACGAACCAACTGTGGAATAACCGGATGTTCTGTAGAATGCGCAATTCTAACACATGTCCCCATGGATGAATTCTACAGGGTTGCGTGACAACTGTCGAACCTTACTTGTTGACCTGCTGAATGAATCGAAACGATCCCTCTCGATCTTGTTGGAAACTAACGCGGAGTGATGTTCAATGATTCCGGAGAGAAGCCCCAATCAGAATTGTTTAGGGCTGTAGGGCTATAGGCCTATAGGCTTATAGTGCTATAGGGCTATAAGGCTATGAGGCTGTAGGGCCACAGGGCTATTGAGCCATAGGGTTGTAGGGCTATAGGGCTATTGAGATATATGGGGTTTTGGGCTATTCGGGCTACAAGGCGATTAGGACGATTAGGGCTATAGGGTTATAAGGCTATAGGGCCTGAAGGGTATTGGGATCTAGGGCTATTGGGCTATATGGGGTAAAGGGAGGAAGCGATTAAACAAACTTTCTGGGGCGGACGATTAAAACAATTGTTTCGCGGGCCTCCTCGCCCCCGCAATAGCGAGGGGGCAGGGCAGGCAGACGGGGGGCTGACAATTCCGGGTTGCCTGGAAGGCCCAGGGGGGGGCACGGGGTGGCGATCCAGGGCGCGGGGGCCAGAGGGGGTGGACGGGGTGATTTTTCAGGGCGAGCTCGTCCTCCTCCTCCTCCTCCGCCCTGCCATTCTGCACTACGTAACGACACGCCATGCTGTGACATACTACGCTGTGCGGTGCTCTTCAACGCCCTGCCATGCCGTGCTCTACAATGCATCGCGCACCCTTTCGGGATCATTGCCCTGCTCGACATCCAACTGTGCGAGTAGAGAGGGGATCTACGCCATGGTTAGGGATGGGAGGGAGGGGTAGGCTGTCATATCTGACGCGAACGCACCTCGCTTGTCCTCCTCTTCCTCCTCCTCTTCCTCCTCCTCCTCCTCCTCCTCCTCCTCCTCCTCCTCATCCCCCACCTCCCAATCGCCGCGGCCGTCCGCAAGGACGACCGGCGGCCGTCCGCAATGACGAGGGTGATCAAGCTCCTCTTCGAAAACCCCGTCCCTAATTACCCCGCCCCCCCTCCGCAATCCTCCCCCCGCGGCCGCGGGTGATCAAGCGAGCGAAGGAGGACGAAAAGAAAATCAGTCCCCCCAAAAAGGCAAAAGCAAACGCCGGGGGGCGGACGACTAAAAAAACAGTTCCCGGCGGCTGAATTCTATTAGTCTGCCCCACCCAATCATTTTGGGGGGTCCGGGGGGGGGGGGCGATTGTTTGAATTGGGCCATATGGGGTATAGGGCTACAGCGCTATAGGGCTATGAAGCTACAGGGCTCAGAAATTATACGGTTACAAGGCTATCGGGCTATACGGCTATACGGCTACTGGGCTACAAAACTATAAGGCTATAGGGCTCTAGGGCTATTGGACTACTTCGGGCATTGGGCTATTCGGGCTGTAGGGCTATAGAGATCTAGGGTTATAGAGCTATAGGGCTATAGGGCTATAGGGCCATAGGGCTGTAAAACTATAGGACCACCGGGCACCTGGGCACCCGGGCACCTGGGCACCCGGGCACCCGGGTACCCAGGCACCCCCAGGCCCCTGGGCCCCCGGGCACCCAGGCGCCCGGGCCGGCCACCGACATTGGCGGCACACCTCGCCTAAACATACGAATCCGCTTGGACCCCTACAGAGGCAAGCTCTGATTAGGGAATGATGCCATGTGATAGTGTAACGAGAAACGCAGCTGCCAAAAACATGCGTATATAGTAACAAGAACCGCCAGTTTAATTGCTTGTGCATCTGAAATTACAAAATTCAACGATGATAGAACATAACCTTTGCAGAAACACTTACCAACATTTACACTTACAATATGGTCGTGTGTAGATCGTAAGCACCAGACCCATGGTCACCCCAAGAAAGCATCAGCACGAAAATATGAAGTCTTCGTGTGTGGCACATAACTGTGTACGATCCCATGCTGATTTCACAATAGGACCTATGAAAGACGCAAGAACAGCTGCAATTAAACTTGAACGCTTGGCGGTTGTTTTCGCATGAGTGCGCTGTTCTTATGAATCCGAACGACAATTCTGTTTCGAAAAATAATACTTCGACGAACATGTTAAACATGATCCACGGACGGTTAGAAACAACTTGCTGGTAAACACCTTACGCATACGGGTATCAACCTGAAGCGTTTGCTGGTTCCCCACTTGAATTTACATGGACATGTGAAGGGTATTGCAAATCACATGTTTCAATACCAGGGATACACACACATCTTCTGCTTTAGACATTTTCAGCGTTACTGATTGCATTGTATGCTAGCCAATGACATATGCATTATAATACAAATAACGACACCTATGAATAACATGATGGTGCTGTTGTTTTGGTCGTGCGAATTTCAATACATCGGGGAAGCTTCATGTAAGCAGGCGCTGTCAAACAATCTTATACATTGCCAATACACACTTACATGACCCAGTGATGTTTGTGCAGCAGGTGGGTATAAGCGGTATTCACATGTTTAACATAATAACAATGTTGCGGTTTCGTCACGGGAATCGTTGCGGCATAACACATTGTGCGTAAACGTGCATAACACGTATGTTTTCAAATCGTAGCATGTACATCGCAACGGTCAGGCATCATTTTCATATAGACTTCACCTGTGATTATCACTTCTTTTCACGAGTAACATGTCTTCCACGACAATAGGAAAGGCAAATTGTGTTTGTATATATATATATACACACGTATACAAGACTGCATTGGCGCTTCGCGCCATGCACCTTGGTCCTTGAAGTTTGGTGCGCAGGTGGAAGAGCAAGAAGGTCAAGCCGAGAATTTAGCGATAACTCCTTGTTGCCTTTTCCGGCATCGTCGCTATAATAATGCTATTCGTGATCTTTCCTCCATGCTTCTTTTCCTCAGGTTCGCCATACCCTGCGCATTCTCCCTATCTTCCTCAGTTTTTTTTTGCGGCGGCTCCTCCTGGGAGAGCCTCTCGGGGCCTAAAAAATGGTTTGAGGCTTTCTTAAGGCCTTCTGGAGGCCGCCTCGGCGTATTCTGGGGGCCTCTGGGGGCTTCCTCGGGCCACCCTGCCTCCAACCACGGATCCCTGAACGACCGAGTCACGATTTGGAATGCTTTGGATGGTGTTTTGGGGCCATCTTGGGCCGCCATGGGGCTCTCTGAGGGCCATCTTGGACCCGTGTTGTGCCGTTTTGGGGCTCTCTCGGACTGCCTGGAAGCCTTTTCGGATGTTTATGGGGCGATTTTGGAACCTCCCAGGCGGCTTCGGACTCCCCGAAGACCGCCGTCTTGGAGCGTCGGGAAGCCGAAAAGAGGAGAACCCCAAAATTCACCAAAAACTAACAGAAAATCCATGATTGTTGCCTCTTGAGAGTGCTTTTGGAGGCCTTTTTGGGGCCGTCCTGGAGGACTTTTGGGCCATCTTGAGGTCACGTCGGTCACTCTTGGAGCGCTCTTGCGCTGTCATGGGGGTCTCTGAGACGTCTCCGATGGCCCTCCTGATCGCCCTGGGTGTGCTGGGAAGGCTTGGCAAAACGCCCTGCGAGGCCAGGGGGGCCGCTTCGAGGCCCGTCCGGAGGGTCCCAAAGCCCCAGATCCCGGGAGTCTGCTTTTGGGGGGGGGATGGGTTTCCCCCCCGCCCAGGCTTATAAAAATATAGGAAGAGGTATATATATATATATGTATATATGTGTATATATACATACACGCATACTCTATACATACATGCATACATGCATACATACATACATACATACATACATACATGCATACATACATACATACATACATACACATACACACATAGATACATACTTACATACATACATACATACATACATACATGCATACATACATACATACACATACATACATACATACATACATACATACATACATACATACGAGTCTGTAGACATATAGTGATTTCTGCAAGTCTTATCCAAACCTTACTATTATCAAAACAACTTACATGAATCATTCCTTCTATGGAAGTGTATGGCCCAGTAATGATCTAACCGTATCTGTGTCTAGCACGTCCAGTTGCACTTCCCCCTAACAAATATAATATGAGTTGTTGAGGTTTACTAATAAAAACACTGGATTTTAACACATCTAACCATGATCGACATGCAGCATTGAGAAAACCTGACGAACGACCCAACCATATGCAGCTGCGAATACCGCACTGCGGGTACGGCTTTCGAAAGAGCTCCTTATAGGGCCACGAACCGTGTGAAGGGTGTGCCCGATTGGGCGCAATATGCCACGCGAACCCTCCCGCTGGAACCTTCGGTGGAGCTCCCTATGGGGCCACGAACCGTGTGAGGGGTGTGCCGAATTGGGCGCGATGGTTCCATGCGAACCGTCCAACTAGAGACTTCGGTGGAGCTCCCTATGAGGCCACGAAACGTGTGAGGGGTATGCCGGATTGGGGGCGGTGGTGCCATGCGAACCCTCCTACTGGAGCCTTCGGTGGAATTCCCCATGGGGCCACAAAACAATGTGAGGGGTGATGCCACACACATGTTCCGATGGCTATCCGAGGCCTGGAGATGGCTCCAAGATGGCCCAAGAGGGCCCCAAGAGAGCCCCAAAAGAGCCCCAAGACGGCCCCAAGAGCGCCCAAGAGCACTCCAAGAGCGTTCCAAGAGGGGTCCAAGAGGCGATTTTAGGGGCTTCCGAGGGGGGGCGCTAATTAAACCCCCCCTCTTGTTTGATCGACTCCCTCCAAGATGGCCCCAAAAGCGCCCCGAAGGCTCCCCAGAGCGCCTCAAGAGGGTCCCAAGAGGCGCCCAAGATGCCCCAAGGCGCCCAAAAAGCCCTCCAAAGCCCTCCAAGAGGCCCTCAAAAGACCCCCAAGAAGCTCCTTCCCCTCCTCCTCCTCCTCCTCCGATTCTTCCTCCTTCTCCGTCCTCCTCCTCCTCCTCCTCCTCCTCCTCTTCCCCCTCCTCCTCCTCCTCCCGACGACGACGACGACGACGACTCCTCTTCCATCCTCCCCCTCTCGGGGTCTGTGACAGCTTCCCCCGCCCTTTGTTATTCTGCATGCTCCCCGACTTCCCTGATCACCTCAACTCCCCTGAGCATCGTTTCTGGATGGGCTGGTGGGGATACGCGAAGCGTCAACAATTCACCTCCTGAACGCCCATCGAGGAGCAGGAGGGAGGATGAGAAGGAGGAACATATGGATGATGAGCAGAAGACGGAGAATGGAAAGAGGAGCGAGGACGAGTTCCATCGTCCGGCGACATGGCGGAGTCCCCGCAACCCTGGCCAAACCCTTGGCAGCATGGAGCTCCAAGGCCCACCCCCAACGACACCGCTAGCACCAGCTGGCCCAGGGTGATCGACAACATGGAGGACCCTGGGCTCGCGGTAGCGACGCTTAACACGGCCCCCTAGCTGAAAGCTCTTGGGGGTTCGTGGCGCTGGCCACTTCCACCTAGCCAGCATGCCAGCAGCCCGCGAAGACGCCCACGACGGTTTCAGGGACATCTTTGGCCATGTTGGTGTATCGTGGACGGTCGCCCAGTACTGCGAATTCAGCGCGCTTTCAACGTGAAGCCGCGACAATCAGTCATGGTCACGGAGCAACCGCAGAAAGCCCACGGCAAAGTCCACGTGCTGGCGGCCAAAGCGCCCTCCCTCGTGGGCGAAAACATATCCATACCCGCGGGGCCCGGCCCCCGGGCCGCGACCCCGCGAACACGTTGCGCTTTTTCGCGGATGCCCCCTCGCGGAACGTATCCGTGGGACCGCAGTATCGCGCCCGGGAATCCAAACCGCGAGGGCGCGGATGCGTATATGCTCGCCGGCTCGTGGCTCCCATAATGCATCCACAGCCCGCAACGAGCGGCGCAGCGGCACGATATGCAGGCCGTACACAGCTCTCTCGACGGCGGGGGCCTCTAGCACAAGAGCGCCAGCTGCTGAAGGGACGTGGGGACACACAAATAGATAGACACACACACACACATCTATGTGTTTCCATCTGTTATCGACGTTCGCCTTCCCATCCACTTCCCATATGTTTCCAACATGTTCGTGGATCGACGTTGATTTGTGTCTGTGTATTGTTCCCTCCTGAGCCGTGGCCTCAAGAGGCAGGGGCCCGCCGAGGCCCAGGAGGAAGGGAGAGCCACAAGCCTCCGAGAGCCTCGATCCTCGAGCCCTGGTCGGCGAGGCGAGGAATCGTATCCACAACCACTGCCTGGGGGATCCGTCGTTGGGAGCCTCGGCAGGCGGTGGATCTCACATATTCCAGCCGGGGGGAGGGCCGAATACATCCACATCCGCAGCCTGCCGAGGTCCCCCAGGATCGCTCCCCCAAGCCGTGGTGCTGAACAAATCCCCGCCTTGGCGGCGACAGCGCAGGTCCTTCGCGGAATCCAGGAAGGTGCGCGTCATGAGCCGGGTGAAGATGCAGCCTTGTCTCATCGCCGGGCGGCACTCTCCAACGGCCAGGGGTGCACAGAAGGTAGGATAAATTAGCATCGAGGGTCGAATCGGAACGTGCGTCGGATCAGGCCGCATCGGCGCGCAATTGAAACATAATCGGATCGGCCGCGTCGGCATGCACGACGGCGCCATGCAAGCATCGGGCCGCATCGGACCGTCGGAAAATCGGAGTCGAATCGGATCGAGGGTTTAGGGATCGATATCGAACTGGATCGGTCGGAGCGACTTGGACCCTGCAGGGAAGGGCTGAAACAGTGTGCACAGAGGAAAGGAGGAAGGGTCGAGCAAGTCACGCCAGAGGCTTCCCTCGACGTCGGCCTGCAGGAGCCCGGTGCGGGCGACAACATCCAAACCACCCGAGCTCTCGGCCACATCCAAGCAAAAAGCGCACCTCGTCCCCTCTCGGTCCCCCGTTGTCCCCTTCTCGGGCCTCCTGAAGCCCAAGAATGGCTGAAGACGCACAAACAAGAAACCTCGGTGCCCAGACATCCCGACGTCAGGAATTTTTAAATGCGGGGCCCCTGGAAGTCCGGACCTGTTCCTCAGGGCAGGCGTCTCATCCTCAGTCTGCTTTTCCAAACCATCCTGTGGTGTTGGGTCCTCGCTTTGAAGAGACAGCGCCGCACGTCCCACCTCCTCCTCCTCCTCCTCCTCCTCGTCCTCCTCCTGTCCTCCCCCACTTTGGCGCACCTCTCACACACTTCGTGGCCCCACAAGGGAGCTCCGCCGAAGGCCCAAATGTCAGCGCTCGCATGCGCCCACGGCATCCATTTTGGCACGCCTCTCACGCTTCGTGGCCCCAAAGGGAGCCCCACCGAAGGCCCAAGTGCCAGCACTCGCATGCGCCCACCATTTTGGCAGGACCCGCACACGTTTCGTCGCCCAATGGGGAGCTCCACCGAAGGCCAACATGCCAGCGCTCGCATCCGCACACCGCACCCATGTTGGCACGCCCCTCACACGCTTCGTAGCCCAAATAGGGAGCTCCACCGAAGGCCCAGATGCCAGCACTCGCATGCGCCCACCGCATCCATTTTGGCAAACCCCTCACGCGCTTCGCAGCTCCACCGAAGGCCCACATGCCAGCGCTCGCATGCGCCCACCGCTGGCACACCCCTCACACGCTTTTGGCCCCATAGAGAACTCCACCAAAGGCCAAGAAGCCAGCCCTCACATGCGCCCACCACGCCCATGCCGGCACACCCCTCACATGTTTCGTGGCCCCACAAAGAGATCCACCAAAGGCCCACATGCCAGCGCTCGCATGCGCCTGCCGCACCCATTTGGCACGCCCCTCAGACGCTTCGTGGCCCCATCGGGAGCTCCACCGAAGATCCAGATGCCAGCGCTCGCATGGGCCCACCCCGCCCATTGTGGCACGCCCCTCATACGTTTCGTGGCACTATAATGGGAGCTCCACAGAAGGCCCAAATGCCAGCGCTCGCATGCGCACACCGCGCCCATGCTGGCACACTCCTCACACGTTTCGTGGCCCCACAAGGAGCTACACCGAAGGCCCAAAATGCCAGCGCTCGCATGCGCCCACCACACCCATTTGGGTACACCCCTCTCACGCTTAGTGGCCCCACAGGGAGCTGCACCGAAGGCCCACATGCCAGCGCTCGCATGTGCCCACCCCGCCCGTTGTGGCAGACCCCATCACACGTTTCATGGCTCTATAAGAAGCTCCACCGAAGGCCCAGATGCCAGCGCTCGCATGCGCCCACCGCACCCATTTTGGGACACCCCTCACCACCGAAGGCCCACATGTCAGCGCTCGCATTCGCCCGCCGCAACCATGTTGCCACACCCTTCGCACGTTTCGTGGACCCAACGGGAGCTCCACCGAATGCGGTGCTTACATCGACGGTGCCCACAACTGGATCTGGTTGGGTCTTTCGCCAAGCTGATTTTGACGGTCCCGGTGGGCCAAGGGGGGCCCAGATGCAGAATAGTGTAAAACGCACGCGCTGCTGTGATGCACTGTTTCTCCCCAACCGTCACTGAGTTTGGGCCACCCCTTCGGCGGGGAGGCGCTCGCCCGCTGGCCTATCTTCAGGTCGAGCTCCTGCCTGGCGTCAACAGCCATCGCCAGGTGCTTGTCGGGCCGACCCAGGCTCCTGAAGGCCTTAAGTCCGCGGAATCGGCCGGTCACCCCCTTCTTAGTCCTCCTGCTCCTCCTCATCATCACCATCGTCCTCCTCTTCCCCCTCCTCCTCTTCTCCGCCTCCTCCTCCTCCTCCCATCCTTTTGCTTGTGAACCTGAAATAACCACCCAGAGCCTTTAGATGACCTTAGGACCGTCCAAAAACCCCATAACCTTGATGTGGCGCTGGCCTTAGCGCCGCGCTGATTCGCCTTCAACGTTACAATTTCAAGGAGTCTTATGTTTAGCGTCCCAAGCACTGTGTGTTGGCACGGCGTCGGATTGTCAGGGCGCACCAGTGACGCACATTCGCGGTTGAAGTCCCAGAAACGATATTCTGGCACGATTCGGGATCGTCATGACGCAACAGTAACGTTTATTCGCGTCGTTGAAGTCCCAGGAATGGTGTTCTGGCACGGCTCAGGATTTCGGAAGGTGTCTTCCAACGGGGCACCCCCCTCAGTGACAATGACTCCATGTAGGGGCCTTTGAAGAGCTAACAGGGAGGGAGGGTCCATTGCAACATCGTTGATGGATCTTGCGTTTGCACTGGTCCTCCTCCTCAGACGCTCTTCCTGCGTTCGCTCCTCCCCGCCTCCTCCGCATCCTCCCCCCCCCCAGGCAGGCACCCCGACGTGTCGGACAACTCTGAAAATGGTCCCTTTTGCGTAGCCCCGACTCTGATCTATTGGCTGGCCGCAGCGTCTTCCCCCGCGCGAGCCCAACCACACATCTTTGAACGCGCGCGCGCGAACACAATGACGAAACGGAGCAAAGCGAGCAAGGACAGTTGCACCTGCGTGGGCCGAGCAGCAGATGAGAGGCACAGGGCCAACGAAAGGCATCGCTGCCCAAAGGGAGGGGGTGCGGGCCATGCAGGATGTCCGAGAGGGCTGGAGAACCTTACCCTGAAAGGTGGTCCTCCTGGACTTAGGTCGGGCATGTGCTCCTACATGCGAATGTTGGAGGAAACATTCAGCAGTATCAAAAACATACCCCAAAAATCATCAAACAAATACTCAAAACTATGTTTTTACTATTTCTGAATACTCCTCCTGTAGAGGGACACGTCCGACTGAATCCTAGACCAATTTGTTCATTATTCCACCACCTTGCCTCCCAGGAGTCCACGACGATGGCTACAGCTGCGCAGTTTGCAGCCTCCCAGGGAGCTATGAGGTCTCGGCTGGGTGCCGCACTCCCCGACTCCGCCGGACATCCCAGGGGAACCCACGAAAGCGGTGCTAGTTGCGCAGCTCGCAGTCCCCCAGGGAGATGCGAGATCTCCGCCGGGTCCGCGCACTCTCCTACTCCGTCGTGCATCCCAGGAGGTCACGAAAGTGGCGACAGCTGCGCAGTTCGCAGCATCCCAGGGATTAGCAAGGTCTCAAATGGGTGCGCGTACTCCCCTACTCCGCCGTGCCTCCAGGAGCCCACGAAAGTGGAGCTAGTTGCGCAGTTCACAGCCCCCCAAGGAGATGCGGGGTCTCGGATGGGTGCGCGTACTCCCCTACACCGCCGTGCCTCCCAGGAGTACACGAAAGTGGCGACAGTTGCGCTAGTTGCGCAGTTCGCAGGCCCTCAGGGAGATGCGAGGTCTCGGCTTGGTGTACGTACTCCCCCACTCCGCCGTACCTCTCAGGAGCCCACGAAAGTGACCAACTTGCGCACTTCGCAACCCCAGGGAGATGCGAGGTCTTGGCTGGGTCCGCGTAGTTACTCCCCTACTCCGCCGTGCCTCCCAAGAGCCCACGAAACTGGCGACAATTGCACAAATTGCAGCCCACAAGGGAGATGCGATGTCGCGGCTGGGTGCGCGTATTCCCCAACTCCGCCGTGCCTCCCAGGAGCCCGCGAAAGTGGCCACAGCTGCGCAATTCGTAGCATACCAGCGAGCAGCGAGGTCTCAAATGGCTGCACGAAATCCCCTACTCCGTGCCCCCAAAGGAGCCCACGACAGTGGCGCTAGTTGCGCACCTCGCAGCCTCCCAGGCAGCCACGAGGTCTCGGCTGGATCCTCGTACTTCCCTGCTCCGCCTTACCTTCCAGGAGCCCACGAAAGTGGCGATACCTGTGCAGCTCGCAGACCCCCAGGGGGATGCGAGGTCTCGGCTGGGCGCGCGTACTCCTCACACAGCAGAACAATTGACCAAGAATACTAGAAGTCGGAACACCTGGGCCAACTGTCCGGCGGCTTCTTGAGACAAACCTGGACCAACGTCTGCCGTTAACGCTGGAAGGGGCGAGCATGCCCAAGAAACTGAGCCAATTTTCCGGCAAGCTGGTCAAGGAACGTTGGCCCAGCTTTTCGGGAGGAGGTTTCTTTATCATAAGCTCGACTGTACTCCGCCGTGCTTCCCAGGAGGCCACGAAAGTGGCGACAATTGCACAATTTGCAGCCCACCAGGGAGATGCGGAGTCTCGGCTGGGTGTGCGTACTCCCATACTCCGCCGTGCCTCCGAGAAGCCCACGAAAGTGGCGACAATTTTGCTAACTAGTTGCGCAACCACCCAGGGAGCAGCGAGGCCTCAACTTGGTCCGCGTACTCCCCGACTCCGCTGGACTTCCCAGGAGCCCACGAAAGTGGCGACATTTGCGCAATTCGCAGCCATCCAGGGAGCAGCGCAGTAGGAGGCAGGAGGAGGAGGGGGAGAAGGAGAGGGCAGGAGGAGAGGAGGTGAAGACCACAGCTCTCTAATCAAAACGAGAACCCAACACAGGATGGTTTGGATTGTTTATTTTTGTTGCTTCCGCTCCTGTTGTAATGGCACCACCCAAGTAACAGACCCGCTGAGGCATGGCTGGAGGCGACTGCCATACGGAAGCATCGTTTCGATCACTGCCGCGAACGATCTTATTCCTGCAAAGCGCATCCGGCTAGCTGGTAATCTGGTGTTACTGCCAATGGATACTAATTGAAGGGTTGGGACTTCTCTTGAGACCCATGGCTGGAGACGACTGCCATACAGAAGTAATGATTCCATCAATAAAGAATATTCCGGCCCATGCCGTTCATGATCTCATACCTGCACAAAGCGCGTGTGGCTAGCCGGCAATCTGAAGTTTCTGCCCGATTCACGGCCTCGTGCAAGAGCCCCGTCTCAGCACAGCTCGACTCCCAACGCCACGAGCAGCGCCGCGCAAGCTCCCAGCAGGCCGGGCGCCCGGCTCCCTGAGTCCTCCGCCGGCTCGCCCATGGTCGCGGTGGCGGTGGTGGTGTGGGCCGACGAGGTGGTCGAGGTCGCTGAGGTCGTGTGCAGGGACGTGGTGCTGGTCCCCGAGACGGTGGTGGTCTCCGTGGTGGTGTGTGGGGTCGTCGTGGCGGTCGCGGTGGCGGTCTCCGTGCTGCTGGTCGCGCTGGTGGTGGAGGTGGTCGTCTCCGCCATGCTGAGCACCCTGCAGCTGCCGCCCCCCGAGTTGCCGTCCGAGTAGCACAGCACGGCGGAACGGTCGTCGCAGCTGGTCACGGCCATGTGCTGCGTGAGGCCAGAGTTCACCTCGCTGGGGGGGCCGGCACCGACGGCGGAGCTGTTCGCCACCAGCCCCACGACGTTGCACGTGCCCCTGCCGGCGAAGCCCGCCGCGTCGGTCGCGGCGCCCTCCGGGTCGGCCGAATAGCACACCAGGGCGGCGTCCTCGGTGAGCGCGTCCGCGGTCAGGTACAGGGAGGGCAGGGCCGTCACCTCGCCCGCGTCCCCGTAGCTGAGGGCGGACCCGTCGACGGCCACCGACCTGCAGTCCACCCGGTTCTCGCCCACCCCGTCCGCCCAGCACACCAGCCCGCGCCCCCCGGTGAGCCTCACCAGTGCCAGCCCACCGAACGCCTCGGACTCCCCGCTGAAGAACCTCTCCCTGGAGCCCGCGGCGAAGTCGCCCTGGTCGACCAGCGCCATGCACTCGCCTTCCCCCTCCGCGCTCCAACAGACCACCGCGCTCGTCTCGGAAAAGGCTTCCACGGTGACGTCCGAAGTGGCGAAGTCCGTGTCGAAATACGTCTTAGTGCCCACAGCGATCGCACTCCCCAGCCCTAAGGTCAACTTGTTACAGACGCCGGCTCTGTCTTTCAAATCGTTGAGCGGCTCAGACCAGCAGACGATGCCGACTTCTTGCGTGAGGCTCGCGACGCTCAAGAACGACACCCCCACCGCGACATCATCGACGACATAGGGCTCGCTGGCCTCGACGCTGCTGCTACCGACTTCCAAGTGCCTGCATTCGAGGTGCTCCGTGTCGAGGTGGTCCTGGTAGCAGACTACAGCAGACGAGGAGGAGAACGATGCCACGTTGATGTACTGGGTGACCTTGGCGTCAAAGACCACCGACGCATCCTCGGTGACCGCCATGCCATCCACCCTGAGGATCTTGCACGTGCCCGCGCCACCACTGTTTGCGTAGTCCGTGTAGCACTGAATCACCCGGGAATCGTCCAGCTTGCTTACCGAGGTGAAAGCTGTCCCGCTCGGGTTCACAGGCAATGCCTCGCCCTGGTCAACAACGTACACGGGAAAAGCGGTCGCGCCGACTGCCAGCAACACCACCAAGGAAGCGCGGCTCAAGAAGGCCATCCTGGGTTAACGCGGGTGCTGAATGACAAGGCGAGATGCTGGCAGGATGCTACAGCGCTGCAGAAGGACTGCTGCTCTTGAGCCAGGACAAGAGGGTTGGGGGAAAAATGAGGGTTGGGAAAACATATTTCCTGGGAGAGACAGAACATTACCGATACTGCTCCTCTGTGGACCTCTTCTGGGGTGCGCTCTGACCCGCACTTCGAGGAGGATGGCGACGAGGGCTGTCCAGGACGAGCAGCGGTTCGGTACCATTTCCTACTCTGATTCCTACCGGCGGCGCGCCCAGGAGGGGAGTGCGAGGGAGCAGGCCTTCTCAGAAGGCGCTGGGGCTTCCCAGAAGCCCTCGCGCCTTCTGGGAAGGCCTTCTGCATCTCTGGGAATGGCGCAGAAGACCTCTCAGAAGGCTCGAGGCCTGACGAGACTTCTCAGAAGGCCCGCCCCTTCTCACCTCCCCCCGTGGCTCGCAGCCGATCCTAACTACTCTGCTGGGTGCGTTTTGACTAGGATTTCGAGGCGAATCCAGCGGTAGCGACGAGGGCCTCCCAGTAGGCCCAGAAAAAGGAAAATGACCGAAGGGTAGCAGTATGGGTACCTTTTCCTCCTCTGAAGATCGGTCAAACGATACTGAGCACACGTCACGGGCACACGGCAGCAGCCAGGCACGCGGCAAAGGCACACGGCACGCGAGCCCAGACGCTCCGGAGGCCACGGCACCACCGAGGCGGAGCGAATGCCAGGCCAACCCTTTGGCTGCCCCGCGCGGCCCTCCGATGGAGAGCCCCACGCCGCGTTACTCGCCCGCCCCGCGCCGCGCACAAGCAAGCAAAGAGCGCGACTGTCATCATCATCATCATCATCATCATCATCATCATCATCATCATCATCAGCAGCAGCAGCAGCAGCAGCAGCAGCAGAAGCAGCAACAGCATACTCATCATCATCATCATCATCATCATCCTCCTCCTCATCATCATCATCATCATCATCATCATCATCATCATCATCATCATCATAATCATCATCATCATTATCCTCCTCCTCCTCATCATCATCATCATCATCATCATCATGATCATCATCCTGCCCTCCTCCTCCTCCTCCTCCTCATCATCATCATCATCATCATCATCATCAACAGCATCAGCATCACCATCATCAGCAGCATAATAATTCGCCGGCCCAACGGGCCAGGGCGTGCTAAGATCTCCGGTACCTGGTTAACAGTATTTCTAGTTCGCGCGCGCGGAGCGGCCCCTGGGGGTCCCCGGACGAAAAGTACCCCGGCAAGGTCCCGGCAAGTCCCAGGCAAGGTCCCGGCAAGTCCCCGGCAAGGTCGGGCCAGAGATGCCGGAGCCCTGTTACAGGGCCCCAGGACGGGCCAAGAGGTCCCCAAGAAGCCTCCAAGACGGTCCAAGAGGGCCCCGAGACGGCCAAAGATCGCCCGAAGACGCCCAACAGGGCCCCAAGACAGCCCAAGAGGCCTCCAAGACGCCCCAAGGGCCTTCCAAGAGGCCTCCGAAGAGGGCCCCAAGAGGCCAAAATCGTTGATTTTCATTGTTTTTTTCTATGTTTTTTGCGTTCTGGCTTTTTCGGCTTCCGGACGCTCCAAGACGGCCCAAGAGGCCCCCAAGACCGCTCCAAGACGGCCCACGAGGCTCCCAAGACGGCCCCGGAACGGCCCAGGAGGGCCCCCAAGACGGCCCAAGTGCCGCCCAAGACGGACCAAGAGGCCCCAAGACGGGCCCAAGAGGGGCTCAAGAGGAGAACCGAGAACTGAAAAATCGAGCCCTCCGCCCCAGAAGGCGCCCAGGAGGCCCCAACATGATCGACCCACGAACCCGGAAAGGAATATAGAAATGTAAGGCATTGCAACATTTCAAAGACACCTGATTGGGCGACGGGCACATGCAATGCTGAATGTATCGATGATGATGTACTGTGCCGAGGGCTGTGCTGTGCTACGCCGTGCTGAACTGCGATGTGCCATGCCGCGATTGTGCTCTATATATAGCGTTGTGGATCGAGTCCTCCCTGGAATCCGAGTACTCACCGAACTGATCTGGAGCGTAAGCTCGAGCTGCCTGAGCAGATGGTAGCTGCCCCAGAACTAATCGACAGAGGGAACATGCCAGGAGGA